TTTCCATGAATGTTACATCTAGAAAGGGCAGCTTCCCATCCCTTCTCCATCTCGTAAGTGAAACTCAACACAGAATTCCGCTCTAATGCCTCCTTCAGCTCCTGCAGACGTGTGACATCAGGTACCTGTGTAAAAATGTCGTCAACATACCTGCAGTATATGGCAGGTTTCAAGTTCATGTCAACTAAGACCTTCTGTTCGATGGTACCAATGTATACGTTTGCAAACAGGACACCTAGGGGAGAACCCATGGCGACCCCATCTACTTGCTTATACATGTGCCCATCATGGCTCAAGAAGGGTGCCTCTTTAGTACAAGCTTTGAGTAGTTTCCCTAGAATGTTTTCTGGTATGTCAAGAGGAATACACGCCGGATCACGATACACTCTGTCCGCTATCATCCCAATTGTTTCATCCACAAGTACGTTGGTAAACAGTGATTCTACGTCCAACGAGGCTCTTATCCCTGTGGCCCATGTTCCCCGCAGTAAGTCAACAAATTCCTTTGGAGGCTTCAGGCTGAAAGCACAAGGTACGTAAGGAGTCAGCAAGCCGTTGAGTCACTTCGCCAGTCTGTACGTGGGTGTGGGTATCTGGCTGATGATTGGCGAAGTGGGTTTCCAGGCTTGTGTGTCTTGACATTTCCATATGCATACCCAGGTTGGTATTCCCAAGTAATCTTTTGCAGGTGGAGTCCAGATTTTTTGGCGTTCACAGTTTCGATCAATCGGTTTACCTTTGCCTTCAATTCGGCTGAAGTGTCCTTCGTTACCCTTTGGAATTTAGTCCATTTGTTAGTTTTTTAGTTAGTTGACTCTGAAGAGTCAACTAACACAACACCTGTACCCTCTATTAGACTATTTTACAGGAACTTCTTTTCCACAGCTCATAAAACGGAGAAAAGGGTCCTGAAAAATATTGTTAATATGAACGTTATCCCTACAGACAAAAATCAGAAGATACAATTGACGATTTACTATAAAACCCAAAAATCGGCCAACCTTCTTATGAAAAACTCTCCAGACACAAAGCAGAACACCTTAAAAGAGACTAACGTCGTCTATACCTTCAAATGCCCACTTGGGGACTGTAACCCACAAAGAACTCAGTATATAGGCAAGACAACAACATCTCTTTCCAGGCGATTAACAATACATATGCAACAGAGCTCCATCAAGGAACATATAATCTCTTCCCACAACCAGACCATCACCAGAGGTGTCTTACCAAACAACACAGAAATCATCAATAGATACAGCGATAGCAGGCGGCTCGACATCTGCGAGGCACTGGCACTACATATCAAAAAGTTATCACCAGCAATCAACAGCCAATTAATGCACAACTATATTCTACCCACTTCAAGACTCCGTGCCAATATAGAAGCATCAAGAGGAAGTATGGGCCAATAGGCCCTTTGCAGTTACTTCCATTCATATGCTCTCATTTATCCAATTTACACCCATTGCACCGTGTTTTGTCTTCTGTTGACCAAAAGTTTGTTCACCTCATCCAAAACTGTTGTAACATATCACCTCATGCAAATGGAAGTATATAAGACAAGCTGTTCAATGTTAGCATTAAGTAAAACTCTGTTTTCAGGTTACAGTTGTGTGTGTGTAAACTAAAGTCTTTGAATATATATATATATATATATATATATATATATATATATATATATATATATATATATATATATAATATATGTGTGTGTGTGTGTGTGTGTGTGTGTGTGTGTGTGTGTGTGTGTGTGTGTGTGTGTGTGTGTGTACTCACCTAATTGTGCTTGCGGGGTTGAGCTCTGGCTCTTTGGTCCCGCCTCTCAACCGTCAATCAACTGGTGTACAGATTCCTGAGCCTACTGGGCTCTATCATATCTACACTTGAAACTGTGTATGGAGTCAGCCTCCACCACATCACTTCCTAATGCATTCCATTTGTCAACCACTCTGACACTAAAAAGAGTTCTTTCTAATATCCCTGTGGCTCATTTGGGCGCTCAGTTTCCACCTGTGTCCCCTTGTGCGTGTGCCCCTTGTGTTAAATAGCCTGTCTTTATCTACCCTATCAATTCCCTTGAGAATCTTCAATGTAGTGATCATGTCCCCCCCTAACTCTTCTGTCTTCCAGCGAAGTGAGGTTCAATTCCCGCAGTCTCTCCTCGTAGCTCATGCCTCTCAGCTCGGGTACTAGTCTGGTGGCAAATCTTTGAACCTTTTCCAGTTTAGTCTTATGCTTGACTAGATATGGACACCATGCTGGGGCTGCATACTCCAGAATTGGCCTGAAATATGTGGTATACAAAGTTCTGAATGATTCTTTACACAAATTTCTGAATGCTGTTCGTATGTTGGCCAGCCTGGCATATGCCACTGATGTTATTCTCTTGATATGTGCTGCAGGATACAGGTCTGGCGTGATATCAACTCCCAAGTCTTTTTCTTTCTCTGACTCCTGAAGGATTTCCTCTCCCAGATGATACCTTGTATTTGGCCTCCTGCTCCCTACACATATCTTCATTACATTACATTTGGTTGGGTTGAACTCTAACAACCACTTGTTCGACCATTCCTTCAGTTTGTCAAGGTCTTCTTGAAGCCTCAAACAGTCCTCTTCTGTCTTAATCCTTCTTATAATTTTGGCATCGTCCGCAAACATTGAGAGAAATGAATCTATACCCTCCGGGAGATCATTTACATATATCAGAAACAAGATAGGACCGAGTACAGAGCCCTGTGGGACTCCACTGGTGACTTCACGCCAATCGGAGGTCTTATCCCTCACCGTAACTCTCTGCTTCCTATTGCTTAGGTACTCCCTTATCCACTGGAGCACCTTACCAGCTACACCTGCCTGTCTCTCCAGCTTATGTACCAGCCTCTTATGCGGTACTGTGTCAAAGGCTTTCCGACAATCTAAGAAAATGCAGTCAGCCCAGCCCTCTCTTTCTTGCTTAATCTATGTCACCTGGTCATAGAATTCTATTAAGCCTGTCAGGCAAGATTTACCCTCCCTGAACCCATGTTGTCGATTTGTCACGAAGTCCCTTTTCTCCAGATGTGCTACCAGGTTTTTTCTCACGATCTTCTCCATCACCTTGCATGGTATACAAGTCAAGGATACTGGCCTGTAGTTCAGTGCCTCTTGCCTGTCGCCCTTTTTGTATATTGGGACCACATTCGCCGTCTTCCAAATTTCTGGTAGGTCTCCCGTCTCCAGTGACCTACTATACACTATGGAGAGTGGCAAGCAAAGTGCCTCTGCACACTCTTTCAGTACCCATGGCGAGATCCCGTCTGTACCAACAGCCTTTCTAACATCCAGATCCAGCAGGTGTCTCTTGACCTCCTCTCTCGTAATTTCAAACTCTTCTAAGGCCGCCTGGTTTACGTCCCTTTCTCCTAGCACAGTGACCTCACCTTGTTCTGTTGTGAAGACCTCTTGGAACCTCTTGTTGAGTTCATCACACACCTCTTTGTCATTCTCTGTATACCTGTCCTCGCCTGTTCTAAGTTTCACTACCTGTTCTTTCACCGTTGTTTTCCTTCTGATGTGACTGTGGAGTAGCTTTGGTTCGGTCTTGGCTTTCTTTGCTATATCATTTTCATAACTTTTCTCTGCTTCTCTTCTCACCCTGACGTACTCATTCCTGGTTCTCTGGTATCTCTCTCTGCTTTCTGGTGTTCTGTTATTCCGGAAGTTCCTCCACGCCCTTTTGTTCAGTTTCTTTGCTTCCATACATGCCCTATTATACCATGGATTCTTCTTTTGTTTCTCGGATTTTTCCTTTTGGGCCGGGATGAACCTGTTTACTGCCTCCTGACACTTTTGGGTGACATAGTCCATCATATCTTGTACAGACTTAGCTCTGAGGTCTGTTTCCCAAGGTATTTCCCTTAGGAAGCTTCTCATCTCCTCATAATTTCCCTTTCGGTATGCCAGCCTTTTGTTTCCTAGTTCTTTTTCTGGGGGGATAATTCCTAGCTCTACAAGGTACTGAAAGTTCGATACACTGTGGTCACTCATTCCCAAGGGTACTTCCATCTTGACTTCCCTTATATCCCACTCATTCAGGGTAAATATCAGATCAAGCATTGCTGGTTCATCCTCTCCTCTTATTCTTGTTGGATCTTTGATGTGCTGGCTTAGAAAGTTTCTTGTTGCCACGTCCAGCAGCTTAGCTCTCCATGTTTCTGGTCCTCCATGCGGGTCTCTGTTCTTCCAATCTATCTTCCCATGGTTGAAGTCTCCCGTAATTAGTAGTCCAGATCCATTCCTGCTAGCAACAGAAGCTGCTCTCTCTATTATGTTAATGGTGGCCATATTGTTGTGTGTGTGTGTGTGTGTGTGTGTGTGTGTGTGTGTGTGTGTGTGTGTGTGTGTGTGTGTGTGTGTGTGTGTGTGTGTAATCCAAATTCAAGAGAGAATTTATTTAGTTTTATCAGATTACGTTGTTAAGTTGTTATATAGTTGTGTGTAGTTGGCTCAGTTAGTGTGACCAGGTGAGAGAGACTATGGCAAGTTGCCAGGGTAAACAATGTTATGGTAGTCGCCCTTGATGGAACGATAATTTGATGACCACACCACACATCAGAAGATGCAGAGACGACGACGTTTCGGTCGTCATCTCTCAACCTTCTGGGTTGACAATCTTCTTGATTGTCGTCTTCTCAATCAAACGAATCACAAAACGGCTTGATTGTGATAGGGTCCAGGACGGACCGAAACTTCGTCTTGTCTCAATATTCTTGTGTGTGGTGTGGACATCATATCTTCCGCCTCCTTATTGTGACTCGTCGTCCAAAAGAGAATGCAGTAATTTACTGAAGGTCCCAATCAGTCCCGAGGGACTGTCCCCAGGTCCTCCTGCTCCCAGACACTACAATGTTGTAAACCACAGTCATGAAGCTTAGAAGCTGTGCAATATATTCCTGCAAGGTTCTCTTCAAGCTTACACTTTCTAAGGCTTTTCAGAGCTTTGTTAGGAAACAAAAAATATATTTATCAGGTAGAACAATATAATTATTCAGGTCTTAATATATTGTAAATATGTTTTCACTTACAATCTACGTATGTCTGTTATAGCAATTGTTGAATGTTTACAAACTATACATTGTGCAGCATTATAAATGTACTAAGTATACCACGAGAGCTTATATTCCAGGAGTGTATGTGTACAAGCACATATATTCCAGGAGTGTATGTGTACAAGCACATATATTCCAGGAGTGTATGTGTACAAGCACATATATTCCAGGAGTGTATGTGTACAAGCACATATATTCCAGGAGTGTATGTACTACAAGCACATATATTCCAGGAGTGTATGTGTACAAGCACATATATTCCAGGAGTGTATGTGTACAAGCACATATATACCAGGAGTGTATGTACTACAAGCACATATATTCCAGGAGTGTATGTACTACAAGCACATATATTCCAGGAGTGTATGTACTACAAGCACATATATTCCAGGAGTGTATGTGTACAAGCACATATATTCCAGGAGTGTATGTGTACAAGCACATATATTCCAGGAGTGTATGTACTACAAGCTCATATATTCCAGGAGTGTATGTACTACAAGCACATATATTCCAGGAGTGTATGTACTACAAGCACATATATTCTAGGAGAGTATCTACTACAAGCACATATATTCCAGGAGTGTATGTACTACAAGCACATATATTCCAGGAGTGTATGTACTACAAGCACATATATTCCAGGAGTGTATGTACTACAAGCACATATATTCTAGGAGAGTATCTACTACAAGCACATATATTCCATGAATGTATGTACTACAAGCACATATATTCCATGAATGTATGTACTACAAGCACATATATTCCAGGAGTGTATGTACTACAAGCACATATATTCCAGGAGTGTATGTACTACAAGCACATATATTCCAGGAGTGTATGTACTACAAGCACATATATTCCAGGAGTGTATGTACTACAAGCACATTTATTCCAGGAGTGTATGTACTACAAGCACATATATTCCATGAACGTATGTACTACAAGCACATATATTCCAGGAGTGTATGTACTACAAGCACATATATTCCAGTAGTGTATGTACTACGAGCACATATATTCCATGAATGTGTGTACTACAAGCACATATATTCCGTGAATGTATGTACTACAAGCACATATATTCCATGAGTGTATGTACTACAAGCACATATATTCCAGGAGTGTATGTACTACAAGCACATATATTCCATGAATGTATGTACTACAAGCACATATATTCCATGAATGTATGTACTACAAGCACATATATTCCATGAATGTATGTACTACAAGTACACATAAGCCAGAAACACTCTGATATGATGAATAATTATGATATGATGAGCACACGAACATATTTTACAAACCTTTCTCATTATTGTATTCATGTCACGAATACACAAATACAATGAACACATGTATGACAGGATTACACATATGTCTACATAATACATATATGTCACTTGTTTACACACACTATGAGTTCATGTATGTCAGGAGTACACATCAGTAAACATATTCCCTGAATACCCACAACGAGTGTAGCACCGCCGGCGCTACACCCGTGGTGGTGGCGCTACACCCGTGGTGGTGGCGCTACACCTGTGGTGGCGGCGCTACACCCGTGGTGGCGACGCTACGCGCTACACCCGTGGTGGTGGTGGTGGTGGCGCTACACCTGTGGTGGCGGCGCTACACCCGTGGTGGCGGCGTTACACCCGTGGTGGCGGCGCTACACCCGTGGTGGCGGCGCTACACCCGTGGTGGCGGCGCTACACCCGTGGTGGTGGCGCTACACCCGTGGTGGTGGCGCTACACCTATGGTGGTAGCGCTACACCCGTGGTGGCGGCGTTACACCCGTGGTGGCGGCGCTACACCCGTGGTGGCGGCGCTACACCCGTGGTGGTGGCGCTACACCCGTGGTGGCGGCGCTACACCCGTGGTGGCGGCGCTACACCCGTGGTGGCGGCGCTACACCCGTGGTGGTGGCGCTACACCCGTGGTGGCGGCGCTACACCCGTGGTGGCGGCGCTACACCCGTGGTGGCGGCGCTACACCCGTGGTGGCGGCGCTACACCCGTGGTGGTGGCGCTACACCCGTGGTGGTGGCGCTACACCCGTGGTGGCGGCGCTACACCCGTGGTGGCGGCGCTACACCCGTGGTGGTGGCGCTACACCCGTGGTGGCGGCGCTACACCCGTGGTGGTGGCGCTACACCCGTGGTGGCGGCGCTACACCCGTGGTGGTGGCGCTACACCCGTGGTGGTGGTGTGCGTGGTGGCGGGCGCTACACCCGTGGTGGTGGCGCTACACCCGTGGTGGTGGCGCTACACCCGTGGTGGTGGCGCTACACCCGTGGTGGTGGCGCTACACCCGTGGTGGTGGCGCTACACCCGTGGTGGTGGCGCTACACCCGTGGTGGCGACGCTACACCCGTGGTGGCGGCGCTACACCCGTGGTGGCGGCGCTACACCCGTGGTGGCGGCGCTACACCCGTGGTGGCGACGCTACACCCGTGGTGGCGGCGCTACACCCGTGGTGGCGACGCTACACCCGTGGTGGCGGCGCTACACCCGTGGTGGCGGCGCTACACCCGTGGTGGCGGCGCTACACCCGTGGTGGCGCTACACCCGTGGTGGCGGCGCTACACCCGTGTGTGTGGCGCTACACCCGTGCTGGTGGCGCTACACCCGTGGTGGTGCGCTACACCCGTGGTGGCGGCGCTACACCCGTGGTGGCGGCGCTACACCCGTGGTGGCGGCGCTACACCCGTGGTGGCGGCGCTACACCCGTGGTGGCGCTACACCCGTGGTGGCGGCGCTACACCCGTGGTGGCGCTACACCCGTGGTGGTGGCGCTACACCCGGCGCTACACCCGTGGTGGTGGCGCTACACCCGTGGTGGAGGCGCTACACCCGTGGTGGCGGCGCTACACCCGTGGTGGTGGCGCTACGTGGTGGCGGCGCTACACCCGTGGTGGCGGCGCTACACCCGTGGTGGCGGTGGTGGAGGCGCTACACCCGTGGTGGCGGCGCTACACCCGTGGTGGCGGCGCTACACCCGTGGTGGCGGCGCTACACCCGTGGTGGCGGCGCTACACCCGTGGTGGCGGCGCTACACCCGTGGTGGCGGCGCTACACCCGTGGTGGCGGCGCTACACCCGTGGTGGTGGCGCTACACCCGTGGTGGCGGCGCTACACCCGTGGTGGTGGCGCTACACCCGGTGGTGGCGCTACACCCGCGCTACACCCGTGGTGGCGGCGCTACACCCGTGGTGGCGGCGCTACACCCGTGGTGGCGGCGCTACACCCGTGGTGGCGGCGCTACACCCGTGGTGGCGGCGCTACACCCGTGGTGGCGGCGATGTATAACCCAGAGATATAATTCAACACGTTGCATACAACTGACTTTTCTTCCCCGCGTTCACAATATTGCAACCCACAAAAGTATTTTAAAAAAGCTATTTTACAAATAAACAATATTTGGAGATTATATATATATATATATATATATATATATATATATATATATATATATATATATATATATATATATATATATATATATATATATATATATATATATATATATATATATATATATATATATAGTATATTTTTGTAGCAGTTATTCTTGTAAACATATGCTGTTGAATATGACCGAAAAGGTAAGATTAATAATTCTTACTCGAAGTTTCTCAATATATCATATGTTTTTCTTCACTGTCGATGGTAATTGAAATATCAATTCTCCAAAAATTCACTTATATTTAAACCCTCTGAACGCATTTCGTAAATTCTTATTACATTTTCAAAGATTTAGTTTACACATACAAATTCAACGTACTTATACTCCTTTTGAGTGAGGTGATATGGCGCAAACGTTTTGGGTGAGGTGACAACCACAATACAGAACACGAAGCAATGGATATAAATTGGGTATGAAAAAACATAAGAATGAAAGTAACTGCAGAAGGCCTATTGGATCATACCTCCTCTTGCTCCTTCCATGTTGGTTCGAGGTCTTGAAGTGGGAATAATATAGTTGTGCATTAATTGCCTATGGTTTGCTGGTGTTGACTTTTTGATGTGTAGTGCCTCACTGATGTCGAGCCTCCTGCTATCGTTGTATCTATTGATGATTTCTGTGTTGTTTGTTAATCGCCTGGAGAGAGATGTTGTTGTCTTGCCTATATGCCGAGTTCTTTCGGGCTTACAGTCCCCAAGTGGTCATTTGAAAGCATAGACGACGTTGGTTTCCTTCAAGGCATTCTGCTTGGTATCTGGGGATTTTTTTAATGAGTAGGATGGCCGTTTTTTTTGGTTTTATAATAAATTGTGAATTATATTTTCTGATTTTTGTCTGTAGGGATAACGTTCCTATCAACAATATCTTTCAGGACCCTTTCCTCCGTTTTGTGAGCCGTCAAAAAAAGTTTCTGTAAAATAGTGTAATAGGGGGTACAAGTATTGTGTTGGTTGACTCTTCAGAGATTGCGTTGCGTTTCACCTTTCTTTTTATGATGTCTTCAACAAAACCGTTAGATGAGCCGTTGTTGACTAGGACCTGCCTTACCCTACAGAGTTCTTCATCGACTTCCTTCCATTCTGAGCTGTGGCTGAGAGCCCGGTCGACGTAAGCGTTGACGACTTTCTTCATGTACCTGTCTGGGCAGTCACTATTGACATTGAGGCACATTCCTATGTCTGTTTCCTTAGTGTAGACTACAGTGTGTAAGCCTTCGCTCCTTTCCCTGACTGTTACATCTAGAAAGGGCAGCTTCCTATCATTCTCCATCTCGTAAGTGAATCTCAACACAGAATTCTGCTCGAATGTCTCCTTCAGCTGCTGATGTCTGGCATCAGGTACCTTCGTAAAAGATCCACCGAAACCAGGATCAGCAAGAAAATGACAACATCAATCTGGAATCAATCTCACTGAGGACCAAGTCACTCTCTTAAATCTGGGTATAAACTGTCACGTTATGTCCAGACCAAGTGAGATGGCCCGGAAAGTGGAGTTGGAGATCCTATTGGACGACATATTTGACCCCGAGACACAAATGAAGGTCACTACCAAAGATACCTTACAAGCAGAACTTATTGCGGAAGGAGGAAAGAATCGAGGCAATTACAGAAGCACCATACTGTCCCCCGAGCTCAAAGCGGCAGCTAAAAGCCTTCGTGAGAACAAGGAGATAGTCGTCAGGAGAGGTGACAAGTCGCCAATATACGTTATTCGTAAAAAAGACGAATATTTGGCAAAAATAAACATCATACTCTCTGACCAAACTAAATTCCAAAGGGTAACGAAGGACACTACAGCCGAATTGAAAACAAAGGTAAACAGATTGATCGAAACTGTGAATGCCAAGAAATCCGGACTCCACCTGCCAAAGGTTAATGCGGAATACAAATCTGGGTATGCGTATGAAAATGTCAAGACCCACAAGCCTGGAAACCCACTTCAGCCAATCATCAGCCAGATACCCACACCCACATACAGACTGGCTAAGCGACTCAACGGCCTGCTGACTCCTTATGTACCTTGTGCTTTCTACCTCAAGTCTCCAAAGGAGTTTGTTGACTTACTGCTGGAAGCACGGACCATGGTGATATGAGCCTCGTAGGATGTAGAGTCATTGTTTACCAACGTACCTGTGGATGAAACAATCGGGATGATAGCGGACAGAGTGTATCGTGATCCGCCCTGTACTCTTGACATACCAGAAAACATTCTAAGGAAACTACTCCAAGCTTGTACTAAAGAGGCACCCTTCTTGAGCCCTGATGGGCACATGAATAAGCAAGTAGATGGGGTCGCCATGGGTTCTCCCCTAGGTGTCCTGTTTGCGAACTTCTACATGGGTACCATCGAGCAAAAAGTCTTAGTCGACATGAACTTGAAACCGGCCATATACTGCAGGTATGTTGACGACATTTTTATGCAGATATGTTGATGACATTTTTACGCAGATACCTGACGCCAAATATCTGCAGCAGCTGAAGGAGGCATTTGAGCGGAATTATGTGTCGAGTTTCACTTACGAGATGATGAATGATGGGAAGCTGCCCTTTCTAGATGTAACAGTCACGGAAAGGAGCGGAGGCTTCCACACTTCAGTCTACACTAAGGAAAGAAACAAAGAAATGTGCCTTAATGCCAATAGTGACTGCCCAGACAGGTACAAGAGGAGTGTCGTCAACGCTTACGTCGACCGTGCTCTCAGCCACAGCTCAGAATGGAAGGAAGTCGATGAAGAACTGATAGGGTAAGGGAGGTCCTAGTCAACAACGGCTCATCTAACGGTTTTGTTGAAGACATCATAAAAAGAAAGGTGAAACGCCAGGCAACCTTTGAAGAGTCAACCAACACAACACTTATACCCCCTCGTAGACTATTTTATAGGAACTTCTTTTCGACTGCTCATAAAACGGAGGAAAGGGTCCTGAAAGATATTGTTGATAGGAACGTTATTCTTACAGCCAAAATCAGATAATACAGTTGACAATTTACTATAAAACATAAAAAAACGGCCAACCTACTCATGAAAAACTCCACAGACACCAAGCAGAATGCCTTGAAGGAAACCAACGTCTCTATGCCTTCAAATGCCCACTTGGGGCTGTAAGCCCCAAAGAACTCAGTATATAGGCAAGACAACAACGTCTCTTTCCAGGCGAATAACAATGCATAAACAACAGGGCTCCATCAAGGAACGAATAATCTCTTCTCACAACCAGACCATCACCAGAGAAATCTTAACAAACAACACAGAAATCATCTATAGATACAACGATAGCAGGAGACTCGACATCAGCGAGGCACTACACATCAAAAAGTCAACACCAGCAATCCATAGCCAATTAATGCACAACTATATTCTACACACTTCAAGACCTCGAACCAACATGGAAAGCAGCAGGAGGTATGGGCCAATAGGCCTTCTGCAGTTACTTTCATTCTTATGTTTTCGTACCCAATTTATATCCATTGTTTTGTGTTCTGTCTTGTCTTTGTCACCTCACCCAAAACTTTTGTGCCATATTACCTCACCCAAAAAGAGTACAAGTACAATGATTTTTTATGTGTAAACTAAGTCATTGAAAATGTAATAAGAAATTACGAAATGTGTTCAGGTGTCAGACAATAAATAAAAATGAATTTTGGAGAATTTATATTTCAATTATCATCGACAGTGGAGAAAAATATAAGAAATATTGAGAAAATTCGTGTTAAAATTATTAATCTTACCTTTTCGGTCATATTCAACAAATATATATATATATATATATATATATATATATATATATAATATATATATATATATATATATATATATATATATATATATATATAATATATATATATATATATATATATATATAACAAAACATACTTCATCGCAAGCAGTATACTCAGCCTATACATTAATGCAGAGAAAAATACTTACACACTAAACAGGTTTTAAAAAAAGGTGGGAGGTGTTATGATAGAGATTGTTTAGAGAAAACAATCTAAGAAGGGGCAGAGTTTACACCTCTTTTACAATACTTTACATAAACTGCATTTTCACTAATGACTCAAATATTTTTCGTAACATGGAAGTTTTATTGAGCATCTTTACTTGGCAGTTTGATTGGCAAGATTTATTATTCAGGTTTATTGGGTATCCCCCAATAAGGAAGATTTATTGGCCAGCTTCACTTTGTCAGGGTGAAGGGTTCGCTCTATTAGCAAGTTTTATTGAGTATAATTTTTGAGGAGAATTATTTGGAAACCTTACTGGTCACCTTGTTGGTAGGCCATATTAGAAACCTTACTGGTCACCTTGTTAGTAGGCCATATTAGAAACCTTACTGGTCACCTTGTTGGTAGGCCATATTAGAAACGTTTGTTAGACAGAGTTATGGGGCTGCTTTAGGAGGAATACACAGCTTACTAGGCTTATATTGGGCAGTTTTATGGGTCATTTTATAGTGCAGACTTATTGAGCAGCACAGATTACTGATATCATTGATAACAGTCACATTAGTAACACTGTCACATTAGTAACACTGTCACATTAGTAACACTGTCACATTAGTAACACTGTCACATTAGTAACACTGTCACATTAGTAACACTGTCACATTAGTAACACTGTCACATTAGTAACACTGTCACATTAGTAACACTGTCACATTAGTAACACTGTCACATTAGTAACACTGTCACATTAGTAACACTGTCACATTAGTAACACTGTCACATTAGTAACACTGTCACATTAGTAACACTGTCACATTAGTAACACTGTCACATTAGTAACACTGTCACATTAGTAACACTGTCACATTAGTAACACTGTCACATTAGTAACACTGTCACATTAGTAACACTGTCACATTAGTAACACTGTCACATTAGTAACACTGTCACATTAGTAACACTGTCACATTAGTAACACTGTCACATTAGTAACACTGTCACATTAGTAACACTGTCACATTAGTAACACTGTCACATTAGTAACACTGTCATTAGTAACACTGTCACATTAGTAACACTCACATTAGTAACACTGTCACATCAGTAACACTGTCACATTAGTAACACTGTCACATTAGTAACACTGTCACATTAGTAACACTGTCACATTAGTAACACTGTCACATTAGTAACACGGTCACATTAGTAACACTGTCACATTAGTAACACTGTCACATTAGTAACACTGTCACATTAGTAACACGGTCACATTAGTAACACTGTCACATTAGTAACACTGTCACATTAGTAACACTGTCACATTAGTAACACTGTCACATTAGTAACACTGTCACATTAGTAACACTGTCACATTAGTAACACTGTTAGTAACACACATTAGTAACACTGTCACATTAGTAACACTGTTAGTAACACTGTCACATTAGTAACACTGTCACATTAGTAACACTGTCACATTAGTAACACTGTCACATTAGTAACACTGTCACATTAGTAACACTGTCACATTAGTAACACTGTCACTGTCACATTAGTAACACTGTCACATTAGTAACACTGTCACATTAGTAACACTGTCACATTAGTAACACTGTCACATTAGTAACACTGTCACATTAGTAACACTGTCACATTAGTAACACTGTCACATTAGTAACACTGTCACATTAGTAACACGGTCACATTAGTAACACTGTCACATTAGTAACACTGTCACATTAGTAACACGGTCACATTAGTAACACTGTCACATTAGTAACACTGTCACATTAGTAACACTGTCACATTAGTAACACTGTCACATTAGTAACACTGTCACATTAGTAACACTGTCACATTAGTAACACTGTCACATTAGTAACACTGTCACATTAGTAACACTGTCACATTAGTAACACTGTCACATTAGTAACACTGTCACATTAGTAACACTGTCACATTAGTAACACTGTCACATTAGTAACACTGTCACATTAGTAACACTGTCACATTAGTAACACTGTCACATTAGTAACACTGTCACATTAGTAACACTGTCACATTAGTAACACTGTCACATTAGTAACACTGTCACATTAGTAACACTGTCACATTAGTAACACTGTCACATTAGTAACACACTTAGTAACACTGTCACATTATTAGTAACACGGTCACATTAGTAACACTGTTACATTAGTAACACTGTCACATTAGTAACACGGTCATTAGTAACACTGTTACATTAGTAACACTGTCACATTAGTAACACTGTCACATTAGTAACACTGTTACATTAGTAACACGGTCACATTAGTAACACTGTTACATTAGTAACACTGTTACATTAGTAACACTGTTACATTAGTAACGGTCACATTAGTAACACTGTCACATTAGTAACTGTCACTGTAACACGGTCACATTAGTAACACTGTTACATTAGTAACACTGTAGTAACACTGTCACATTAGTAACACGGTCACATTAGTAACACTGTCACATTAGTAACACTGTCACATTAGTAACACGGTCACATTAGTAACACTGTTACATTAGTAACACTGTCACATTAGTAACACGGTCACATTAGTAACACTGTTACATTAGTAACACTGTCACATTAGTAACACTGTCACATTAGTAACACTGTCACATTAGTAACACTGTTACATTAGTAACACGGTCACATTAGTAACACTGTTACATTAGTAACACTGTTACATTAGTAACACTGTTACATTAGTAACACTGTCACATTAGTAACACGGTCACATTAGTAACACTGTTACATTAGTAACACTGTCACATTAGTAACACGGTCACATTAGTAACACTGTCACATTAGTAACACTGTCACATTAGTAACACGGTCACATTAGTAACACTGTCACATCAGTAACACTGTCACATTAGTAACACTGTCACATTAGTAACACTGTCACATTAGTAACACTGTCACATTAGTAACACTGTTACATTAGTAACACTGTCACATTAGTAACACTGTCACATTAGTAACACTGTTACATTAGTAACACTGTTACATTAGTAACACGGTCACATTAGTAACACTGTTACATTAGTAACACTGTTACATTAGTAACACTGTCACATTAGTAACACGGTCACATTAGTAACACTGTTACATTAGTAACACTGTCACATTAGTAACACGGTCACATTAGTAACACTGTTACATTAGTAACACTGTCACATTAGTAACACGGTCACATTAGTAACACTGTCACATTAGTAACACTGTCACATTAGTAACACTGTTACATTAGTAACACTGTCACATTAGTAACACTGTCACATTAGTAACACTGTCACATTAGTAACACGATCACATTAGTAACACTGTTACATTAGTAACACTGTCACATTAGTAACACGGTCACATTAGTAACACTGTTACATTAGTAACACTGTCACATTAGTAACACTGTCACATTAGTAACACTGTCACATTAGTAACACTGTTACATTAGTAACACGGTCACATTAGTAACACTGTTACATTAGTAACACTGTTACATTAGTAACACTGTTACATTAGTAACACTGTCACATTAGTAACACGGTCACATTAGTAACACTGTTACATTAGTAACACTGTCACATTAGTAACACGGTCACATTAGTAACACTGTTACATTAGTAACACTGTCACATTAGTAACACGGTCACATTAGTAACACTGTCACATCAGTAACACTGTCACATTAGTAACACTGTCACATTAGTAACACTGTCACATTAGTAACACTGTCACATTAGTAACACTGTTACATTAGTAACACGGTCACATTAGTAACACTGTTACATTAGTAACACTGTTACATTAGTAACACTGTTACATTAGTAACACTGTCACATCAGTAACACTGTCACATTAGTAACACTGTCACATTAGTAACACTGTCACATTAGTAACACTGTCACATTAGTAACACTGTTACATTAGTAACACTGTCACATTAGTAACACTGTCACATTAGTAACACTGTCACATTAGTAACACTGTCACATTAGTAACACTGTCACATTAGTAACACTGTTACATTAGTAACACGGTCACATTAGTAACACTGTCACATTAGTAACACGGTCACATTAGTAACACTGTCACATCAGTAACACGGTCACATTAGTAACACTGTCACATCAGTAACACACATTAGTAACACTGTCACATCAGTAACACACATTAGTAACACTGTCACATCAGTAACACACATTAGTAACACTGTCACATCAGTAACACACATTAGTAACACTGTCACATCAGTAACACACATTAGTAACACTGTCACATCAGTAACACACATTAGTAACACTGTCACATCAGTAACACACATTAGTAACACTGTCACATTAGTAACACTGTCACATTAGTAACACTGTCACATTAGTAACACTGTCACATTAGTAACACTGTCACATTAGTAACACTGTCGCATCAGTAACACACATTAGTAACACTGTCACATCAGTAACACACATTAGTAACACTGTTACATCAGTAACACACATTAGTAACACTGTCACATTAGTAACACTGTCACATTAGTAACACTGTCACATTAGTAACACTGTCACATTAGTAACACTGTCACATTAGTAACACTGTCGCATCAGTAACACACATTAGTAACACTGTCACATCAGTAACACACATTAGTAACACTGTCACATCAGTAACACACATTAGTAACACTGTCACATCAGTAACACACATTAGTAACACTGTCACATCAGTAACACACATTAGTAACACTGTCACATCAGTAACACACATTAGTAACACTGTCACATTAGTAACACTGTCACATTAGTAACACTGTCACATTAGTAACACTGTCACATTAGTAACACTGTCACATTAGTAACACTGTCGCATCAGTAACACACATTAGTAACACTGTCACATTAGTAACACTGTCACATTAGTAACACTGTCACATTAGTAACACTGTCACATTAGTAACACAAGTATCAACTGGCTCAACTTTAGGTGCTCCAAAATTAATTAATTAATTATTGTTAATAAATTTAAGTGATAATATACCCTCATGCCTTATCCTTTTGTTTCCTAAGCGTCTATAAAGTTTATAAACTGCTTTTGGATTTTGTGTAAAGTTGACATTGTTGAGAGCTGTAAGCGACTAAAATACCACCTATGAGTTACAATTGGCCAAGTGGTCAAACCTATGCCACAATTTGCTCTATTTTTAGACTAAAAATCATTATGAATTTTTAATGATTTATTTTAAATATTCTTTGATCCATTGAAGAGTTAAAATATCAATGAGTTTTCAGTATCTAAAAGTTTTCTCGACAGTTCTTTGGAATTTGGAACTTTTTTTTTACTTCGTCTTCCCCGAAATAAAATATTCACCATTTACTTTTATTTCATTAGTTTTCGTAAGTTGGAGATGTATGTTGACAGTAATGGTAGTGTTGTTGACAGTAATGGTAGTGTTGTTGACAGTAATGGTAGTGTTGTTGACAGTAATGGTAGTGTTGTTGACAGTAATGGTAGTGTTGTTGACAGTAATGGTAGTGTTGTTGACAGTAATGGTAGTGTTGTTGACAGTAATGGTAGTGTTGTTGACAGTAATGGTAGTGTTGTTGACAGTAATGGTAGTGTTGTTGACAGTAATGGTAGTGTTGTTGACAGTAATGGTAGTGTTGTTGACAGTAATGGTAGTGTTGTTGACAGTAATGGTAGTGTTGTTGACAGTAATGGTAGTGTTGTTGACAGTAATGGTAGTGTTGTTGACAGTAATGGTAGTGTTGTTGACAGTAATGGTAGTGTTGTTGACAGTAATGGTAGTGTTGTTGACAGTAATGGTAGTGTTGTTGACAGTAATGGTAGTGTTGTTGACAGTAATGGTAGTGTTGTTGACAGTAATGGTAGTGTTGTTGACAGTAATGGTAGTGTTGTTGACAGTAATGGTAGTGTTGTTGACAGTAATGGTAGTGTTGTTGACAGTAATGGTAGTGTTGTTGACAGTAATGGTAGTGTTGTTGACAGTAATGGTAGTGTTGTTGACAGTAATGGTAGTGTTGTTGACAGTAATGGTAGTGTTGTTGACAGTAATGGTAGTGTTGTTGACAGTAATGGTAGTGTTGACAGTAATGGTAGTGTTGTTGACAGTAATGGTAGTGTTATTGACAGTAATGGTAGTGTTGTTGACAGTAATGGTAGTGTTGTTGACAGTTGTCCGGAAGGTTGGGGTCTTGGCACCAAATTTGGCTTCCTTCAGTACTGTATCATTACATTACGTTTATATTATTCCATTAAATTTCAAATTTCCTATTTTTCTAATTATCTACAAAGTAGATTGTGTTCTCATAGACACTATATAAAAGAAAGAGTGCCCCTTATTGTAAAAGTTTATAGATACAGAGTTTCAGAATCAAGGCAGTGTTCAGTTACTATGGAAAGTTCATATCAAGAAGTTTCCATTAAGTTAACAATGTCTGTAATTCAAGTAGCTGTACTTTATGTTGGAGAGCTCTTCCCGGGGCGCTCCTACAAGACGTGGTTGTGCTCGAGGAACCACCGGTAGAGGGAGTCCTCGTGCTTCTCAACCCACTTGATGTTGCCTTCCACCTCCTCCAGGGCCTGCTGGCGGGCGCGGGCCCCTGACCCGGCGTTGGGGAACTCCGCAAAGAACTCCTTCATCTGTGAGGGGTGACACAAAGGTTGTAAATGCCCATCAAGACAAATAATAAAACTAAGAGTTTTCTTTGTCGCGTATAAGGCTGAGGAGCACAACAGTTAAACATCATATGCACAGAAAAAGCACACTAACGTGATATATAGAAAAAAGAAAGTCAACTTGAGCTCGAGGATTCGAGTTCTGTATCAACTTTGATTCGTTTCGTATCATCTGAGGATTTGAGTCACCTCAAAGCTCCAGTTGATTTTTTCAATTACATATCATGTTGCTATAGTTTAGGATTAACAGGAAAAACATAGTATTTGATCTGCTGTGGGAGTATCACTTAGCCAGGCCCGAAGTGGCGAGGGAACACATGAGATGAGCTCAACCTTTGTTCAGCTCCTATCATGCGGAGTTATCCTACTGGAGCTGTTCGCTGGAATAGGGATAACTTTCCCAGGGGCTGGGACAGATACGAGATGAAGAGCATCTTTTGAAATTCTTCAAGAGTTTAAGGTGTCTGTGGTGTGACACACAGGTGCACAGTGAGAGACACAGGTGCACAGTGAGAGACACAGGTGCACAGTGTGAGACACAGGTGCACAGTGTGAGACACAAGTGCACAGTGAGAGAGACAAGTGCACAGTGAGAGACACAAGTGCACAGTGTGAGACACAGGTGCACAGTGAGAGACACAAGTGCACAGTGAGAGACACAAGTGCACAGTGAGAGACACAGGTGCACAGTGTGAGACACAGGTGCACAGTGAGAGACACAGGTGCACAGTGAGAGACACAGGTGCACAGTGTGAGACACAGGTGCACAGTGAGAGACACAGATGCACAGTGAGAGACACAGGTGCACAGTGTGAGACACAGGTGCACAGTGAGAGACACAGGTGCACAGTGAGAGACACAGGTGCACAGTGAGAGACACAGGTGCACAGTGAGAGACACAGGTGCACAGTGTGAGACACAGGTGCACAGTGAGAGACACAGGTGCACAGTGAGAGACACAGGTGCACAGTGTGAGACACAGGTGCACAGTGAGAGACACAGGTGCACAGTGAGAGACACAGGTGCACAGTGAGAGACACAGGTGCACAGTGAGAGACACAGGTGCACAGTGAGAGACACAGGTGCACAGTGTTTTGTTAATAAAGTCTGGATGTGTACAACCTGCTGGCATGTGTACATGATGTATACATGGACAAGAGAGACTGTTGACGGAAGGTGACAATCATGGATACATAAGGTGACAATCATAGCTACATAAGGTGACAATCATGGCTACATAAGGTGACAATCATGGCTACATAAGGTGACAATCATGGCTACATAAGGTGACAATCATGGCTACATAAGGTGACAATCATGGCTACATAAGAAGGTGACAATCATGGCTACATAAGGTGACAATCATGGCTACATAAGGTGACAATCATGGCTACATAAGAAGGTGACAATCATGGCTACATAAGAAGGTGATAATCCTGGCTACATAAGGTGACAATCATGGCTACATAAGGTGACAATCAGGGCTACATAAGGTGACAATCATGGCTACATAAGGTGACAATCATGGCTACATAAGGTGACAATCATGGCTACATAAGGTGACAATCATGGCTACATAAGGTGACAATCATGGCTACATAAGGTGACAATCATGGCTACATAAGAAGGTGACAATCATAGCTACATAAGGTGACAATCATAGCTACATAAGGTGACAATCATGGCTACATAAGAAGGTGACAATCATGGCTACATAAGGTGACAATCATGGCTACATAAGAAGGTGACAATCATGGCTACATAAGGTGACAATCATAGCTACATAAGGTGACAATCATAGCTACATAAGGTGACAATCATAGCTACATAAGGTGACAATCATGGCTACATAAGGTGACAATCATGGCTACATAAGGTGACAATCATGGCTAAATACGAAGGTGACAATCATGGATACATAAGGTGACAATCATGGCTAAATACGAAGGTGACAATCATGGATACATAAGGTGACAATCATGGCTAAATACGAAGGTGACAATCATGGCTACATAAGGTGACAATCATGGCTAAATACGAAGGTGACAATCATGGATACATAAGGTGACAATCATGGCTAAATACGAAGGTGACAATCATGGCTACATAAGGTGACAATTATGGCTACATAAGGTGACAATCAGGGCTACATAAGAAGGTGACAATCATGGATACATAAGAAGGTGACAATCATTGCTACATAAGAAGGTGAAAATCATGGCTACATAAGGTGACAATCATGGCTAAATACGAAGGTGACAATCATGGCTACATAAGGTGACAATCATGGCTACATAAGGTGACAATCATGGCTACATAAGGTGACAATCAGGGCTACATAAGAAGGTGACAATCATGGCTACATAAGAAGGTGACAATCATGGCTAAATACGAAGGTGACAATCATGGCTACATAAGGTGACAATCATGGCTAAATACGAAGGTGACAATCATGGCTACATAAGGTGACAATCAGGGCTACATAAGGTGACAATCATGGCTACATAAGAAGGTGACAATCATGGCTACATAAGGTGACAATCAGGGCTACATAAGGTGACAATCAGGGCTACATAAGGTGACAATCATGGCTACATAAGAAGGTGACAATCATGGCTACATAAGGTGACAATCAGGGCTACATAAGAAGGTGACAATCATGGCTACATAAGAAGGTGACAATCATGGCTACATAAGAAGGTGACAATCAGGGCTACATAAGGTGACAATCATGGCTACATAAGGTGACAATCATGGCTAAATACGAAGGTGACAATCATGGATACATAAGGTGACAATCATGGCTACATAAGGTGACAATCATGGCTACATAAGGTGACAATCAGGGCTACATAAGGTGACAATCATGGCTACATAAGGTGACAATCAGGGCTACATAAGAAGTTGACAATCATGGCTACATAAGAAGGTGACAATCATGGCTACATAAGAAGGTGACAATCATGGCTACATAAGGTGACAATCATGGCTAAATACGAAGGTGACAATCATGGCTACATAAGGTGACAATCATGGCTACATAAGGTGACAATCAGGGCTACATAAGAAGGTGACAATCATGGCTACATAAGAAGGTGACAATCATGGCTAAATACGAAGGTGACAATCATGGCTACATAAGGTGACAATCATGGCTAAATACGAAGGTGACAATCATGGCTACATAAGGTGACAATCAGGGCTACATAAGGTGACAATCAGGGCTACATAAGGTGACAATCATGGCTACATAAGAAGGTGACAATCATGGCTACATAAGGTGACAATCAGGGCTACATAAGGTGACAATCAGGGCTACATAAGGTGACAATCATGGCTACATAAGAAGGTGACAATCATGGCTACATAAGGTGACAATCAGGGCTACATAAGGTGACAATCATTGCTACATAAGAAGGTGACAATCATGGCTACATAAGGTGACAATCAGGGCTACATAAGGTGACAATCATGGCTACATAAGAAGGTGACAATCATGGCTACATAAGGTGACAATCAGGGCTACATAAGGTGACAATCATGGCTACATAAGAAGGTGACAATCATGGCTACATAAGGTGACAATCAGGGCTACATAAGGTGACAATCATGGCTACATAAGGTGACAATCATGGCTACATAAGGTGACAATCAGGGCTACATAAGGTGACAATCATGGCTACATAAGAAGGTGACAATCCTGGCTACATAAAAAGAGAATATATAAATCTCTGTTATATATAACTATTTATATTTGTTAAAATCCATTAATTTTTGTATAATTTAGGAAATTATTTGTTGCCTATCACTTAATATTTGCAATATTAAAATTATTCTTAGTCGTAAAATTATTATTAATATTAGAAGCAATATTATTATGAGTTTTATTATATTAATTATTGTTATACAATTATTATTATTTATTTTATTAGTTTTCATCGTGCTAATATTTCTATTAGTAAGGTTTTATTGCCACATTACTGCACAATGGATGAGACTCACCAAGAGTTGAAGAGTGTTAGTTACAAGTTTGTTTTGGTGGATGTGTTTTGTTACATATTATATATAATTCGTGTAATGAAGGGGGGAAGTTTTGTTTTAAAGAATTGTATACTACTGGCCATTAACCTCACCACCCGGCGCTAGGCTTCCTTGGAGCCATCACCCGGCGCTAGGCTTCCTTGGAGCCACCACCCGGCGCTAGGCTTCCTTGGAGCCATCACCTGGCGCTAGGCTTCCTTGGAGGCACCACCCGGCGCTAGGCTTCCTTGGAGCCATCACCCGGCGCTAGGCTTCCTTGGAGCCACCACCCGGTGCTAGGCTTCATTGGAGCCATCACCCGGCGCTAGGCTTCCTTGGAGCCATCACCCGGTGCTAGGCTTCCTTGGAGCCATCACCCGGTGCTAGGCTTCCTTGGAGCCATCACCCGGCGCTAGGCTTCCTTGGAGGCACCACCTGGCGCTAGGCTTCCTTGGAGCCATCACCCGGCGCTAGGCTTCCTTGGAGCCATCACCTGGCGCTAGGCTTCCTTGGAGCCATCACCCGGCGCTAGGCTTCCTTGGAGCCATCACCCGGTACTAGGCTTCCTTGGAGCCACCACCCGGTGCTAGGCTTCCTTGGAGCAATCACCCGGCGCTAGGCTTCCTTGGAGCCACCACCCGGTGCTAGGCTTCCTTGGAGCCACCACCCGGTACTAGGCTTCCTTGGAGCCATCACCCGGCGCTAGGCTTCCTTGGAGCCACCACCCGGTGCTAGGCTTCCTTGGAGCCACCACCCGGTGCTAGGCTTCCTTGGAGCCACCACCCGGTGCTAGGCTTCCTTGGAGCAATCACCCGGCGCTAGGCTTCCTTGGAGCCACCACCCGGTGCTAGGCTTCCTTGGAGCCACCACCCGGTACTAGGCTTCCTTGGAGCCATCACCCGGCGCTAGGCTTCCTTGGAGCCACCACCCGGTGCTAGGCTTCCTTGGAGCCACCACCCGGTACTAGGCTTCCTTGGAGCCACCACCCGGTGCTAGGCTTCCTTGGAGCCACCACCCGGTGCTAGGCTTCCTTGGAGCCATCACCCGGTGCTAGGCTTCCTTGAAGCCATCACCCGGTACTAGGCTTCCTTGGAGCCACCACCCGGTGCTAGGCTTCCTTGGAGCCACCACCCGGTGCTAGGCTTCCTTGGAGCCATCACCCGGTGCTAGGCTTCCTTGGAGCCACCACCCGGCGCTAGGCTTCCTTGGAGCCACCACCCGGTGCTAGGCTTCCTTGGAGCCACCACCCGGCGCTAGGCTTCCTTGGAGCCACCACCCGGCGCTAGGCTTCCTTGGAGCCACCACCTGGTGCTAGGCTTCCTTGGAGCCACCACCCGGCGCTAGGCTTCCTTGGAGTAATCCTAGTGTGTGTGTGTGGGGGGGGGGAAGACAGTGGGTGGAGGTCAAGTAATGTATCTTCTTCATGGTGAAGAATTATATAAATATTTTGATTTCTTTGGAACAAGGGTGGATATGCTGACGATGAGTCACAATAACGAGGCAGAAGATACGATAACCAAACCACGCATCAGATGATGGAGAAACGATAACGTTTCGGTCCGTCTTGGACCGTTATCAAGACCACATACAACTTGATAATATTCCTGGACGGACCGAAACGTCATCGTTTCTCTATCTTCTATTGTGTGGTTTGGTCATCAAGAGTGGATATTCAATTTTAATTTACAGAAATATAACAGTTAATTCCTTGTCATTGTATCGAACATGGCTTCTCTCTGTATACTGGAGCACAATGTGAGGAGCATGTAGAGCATCAAGACCATGTTATGGAAATTTACCTCTTGTAGCTGACTGGAGGAGGTGAACCGCGTACACACAAACTTCACCATGCGCCCCAGGTACCGGTTGCTGAGGGTGAACCTCTCCTCCAGCTCCTCCCAGTGCGACCTAAACACACACGCAACAAATTATTCCAAGGCAGGATCAAGTGGAACATTTTGGGTTTAAGACTCATGATATGAAACATTGGTTTACTGAGAATTATATCAACTATATGTAATGTAGTTTCCCTTGTAAATTGATGTATATTTATGACTTATATTGTATATTATTTAATACAGAGTAAAACATTACTCCACAGGTAAATAATCAAAGGTTATCTGAAATATAAAGTATGTTATGAGCAGTTGTGCTTGGAAGGGCATTAACACCCCCCCCACCTCCCTCCCCGGCCCTCACTCACTGACTCATATGCTGTGTCCTTCCTACGGTGAATTAGCATAACTTTTATTTTCATAACTTTTAGCCTAACTTTTATTATATATTTATATATTTGGAGTTTATGGATAGCTGAGCCTAGATAAGTAAGTAATTATCAATAGAAGGCACCAAACCGGGAAGGCTATGTAGCACCACCAAACGTGCAGAGTAATCAGAGGGCGCTAAATATCACCAAGGATGCCAATACGATAACAGAAACGCATAAGGCGAACGATATCAAAAGTATTCGATTCACCACGAATTCTACCGAGGGACAATTGCCCGCATGGAACAGTCGGAAAGCAATCTCGTCCTGGAAATCAGGACATTCAACAAGGATGTGCATGACCGTAAGAGGAACAATGCAATTTGGACAATAAGGAGCAAGACCAACAACTCTGCCAGCGGGCAAGGATGGAGGCATGAATAACTGTAAAAATCGGAATAAGGAATACCTTTACGGGAGATGGGACAAGTGTGGATAGCTTCCTTAGCGGCAGCATTCACATGATCAGTTAAAGAGACACCAACATGGCTGGGAACCCAGCAAAATTCAACCAACTTAAATTTCCTGGAGATAAGAAACAGCCAATGTTGAATCCCAATGACCACCGGGTGGACTGGATTAAAGGACCCTAAGCCATGAGGGCACTACGAGAGACAACTACCACCACAAAGGAGGATTGACACCGGGCAAGCAGGAGACGAAGAGCATAGAGAATAGCATAAAGTTCTGCTGTAAAGATGCAAGCCTCCGGAGGATGGCGACACATATAAGTGTGGTCAGGAAAAACAACAGAGTAGCCCACACCGTCAGCAGACTTCCCTTCGGTGAAGATGGGAACGGAGTGGGAGTGAGAAGAAAAGTGCTCAAGGAAGAGGCATTTCAGAACTGTAGGAGGGGTAAAAACTTTAGTGATGCGGGTCAGAGAAGTACAAAATTTGGGAAAGGGGACCCTCCACGGGGGCAAGGATGGAAACATACGAGGAGAAACATTGGTAATACGAACTGAATGAGAATCTTGTAAGCGAGACAAACGGACAGAAAGAGGAAGGAGGTGAAGAGGAACAGGAACTACAGGAGGGGTAAAAGTCAAAGCGCAATAGAGGCGAGAGTGAGGATGCTGTAAGGATCGTGCAAGATAGCGAAGACTGTAGCAATCACGGCGGTCCTGAAGAGACAAGAAGCCAGTGTCAGTGTACAAGCTGAGGGTAGGAGTTGAACGAAAAGCACCAGAGCCGAGGCGCAACCCAGTATGGTGCAAAGGATCAAGACGGCGAAAAGTAGAAGGAGAAGCAGAAGAGTATGCAGGGCAACCATAATCGAGTTTAGACAGGACGAGAGAGGAATGCAAATAAAGGAGCATGCGCCTATCCGCTCCCCAAGAAGTATGGGAAAAAACCTTAAGTAGGTTAAGGGCCTTAGAGCACTCAACACGAAGGTAAGAGATATGGGGAGACCAAGACAAACGAGTGTCAAAGAATAACCCCAAAAGCTTTGCGGAAGCTTTGTACTCAAAAGGATGACCATAAAGTGACAAAGAGGGACGACGAACGACCCGCTTCCGAGTAAAAGTCATGGCACAAGTCTTAGAAATAGAGAACTTGAAGCCTTGATTGGTGGCCTAAGATGACACGGCATCAATCGCAAGTTGAAGCCGCCGTTGAAGGAGAGGCGAATCATCACCTCGACAGCAAAGAGTAAGATCATAAACATAAAGAGCGGAGAAGATGCCAGAAGGAAGGGAGAAAAGAAGACCATTGAGGGCAACCAGAAAAAGAGTAGTTCTCAGAAGACTACCTTGGGGTACACCATACTGCCAAAAAGAGGCAGAGAGAGTGGTACCAAGCCTGACTTGAAAGGTACGACGAGAGAGAAAGCTTTGAAGGAAGAGAGGGAGATTACCATGAAGGCCAAAAGAACGAAGTTGGAACAGAATATGGTATTTCCAAGTCATGTCATAAGCCTTTTCCAGGTTAAAAAGGACGGCAACAACGGAGGTCTTCCCAGCAAAAGCAGCACAAATATAGACCTCCAAGTTCACCAGGACACCAGTTGTGCTGCGGCACTTGTGAAAACCAAATTGAGAAGGAGACAGGTGGTGATGGTGTTCCAAGAACCACATCAGACGGACATTTACCATACGCTCAAAGAGCTTGCAGACACAACTCGTGAGAGCAATAGGGCGGAAGTCCTTAGGGGACTTACCGAGAGACCCTGGTTTCCGAATAGGGAGTACACGGCATCGAACCAGTCCTCAGGGATGGACAACGAATCCCAGACCTGGTTATACATACTCAGTAAATACCGAGACGTGCACGGAGGGAGATGGCGAAACATCTCATAACGATCGTCATCCGAGCCCACTGCCATAGATCCGCAGAGGGCCAGGGCAGACTGAAGTTCAGAAAGAGAGAAAGGATCATTATAGGGAAGGCGGAGATGAGTGTGGAAATCTAAAGGATAAGATTCAAGAACAGGCTTATGAAGAAGGAAGGATTGAGGAAGATGAGAACCAGAGCTAACAGTAGAAAAGTTGGAACCCAGTTCGGTCGCGACTGTCACTGGGTCCGCCACAAGAGTACCACGGAGGTGGAGAACCGGAGAGACATCTGGAACAAACTTGCCAGCAATTTTGCAGATCTTCTTCCAGATCTGCGGCAGGGGAGTATCGGACGTAATGGTGGAAACATAAGATTTCTAATTCTCACGTTTAGCTGTACTGATGGTCCTACGGGCCACCGCACTTCCCTTCCGAAACAAAATAAGAGAATCAGCCGTCTGCCGGCGGCGGTGTTTCTTCGAGGCCTCACGCTTACAGCGGACAGCCCGAGAACAGTCCGCATTCCACCAGGGAACGCACTTTCGCACGCCCCGGGAGGAAGAGCAAGGAATAGAGCAGAGGGCAGCGTCGAAGACAGTGTCATAAAAAAAGAAGGAGGGCGCGAAGAAGAGGCAGAGAGGAGAGGTCAGAGAGAGTAGCACGGAGGGTGAATAGGCTCCAGTCAGCCTTGGCAAACTGCCACCTAGGGAGGGAGAGGGGAGAGTGGAAAGAGAAAAATTAAACGAGGATGGGGAAATGATCACTGTTATAATGGCCATCAAGAACCTGCCACGTGAAATCTAAGTAAAGGGACGACAAGCAGAGAGAAAGATCTAGACAGGAAAGGGTGTGAGTCCGAGAGTCCACATGAGTGGGCTCACCAGAATTCAGAAGAGACAGGGAAGAAGAGAGGACGAACGGTTCCAGAAGGCGGCCTCGGGTGTTTGTCAGAACATCACCCCAGAGAGTATGTCGACAGTTGAAATCATCCAAAAAGGAGCACCGGCTCTGGCAAGGAGTCCAGGAGGTGCTTAAGAACGGGTAAGGGAAAGTGGGACATTTGGCAGGAGATAAATGAAACACACACTGTATACCATTTACCCACAAAAACACGGGCAGTGGAACAATGACGGAAGAAGTAGGGGGACGAAAGGAACATCAGAACGAATTAGGAGAGCAGTAGAGATATGGGGTTACAGGGGGGGGGGAGGAGAAAGAAAGGAACAACCACGAAAGTGACCAGGACGAGCACCAAGCCTTCATTCTTGGAGCCAAACACAAAGTGGTGAAACTGTGTAATTAGAAGTTGGAGTTCATGGAAGTTGGCATAAAATCCACGAATATTCCACTGAAGAATAGATATTATCAAAGAGAAAGGACAATAACAGAGAACAATAAAGAAACAGAGGTAAAGAAGAACACAGTTTATTAAAGAATCTCAGGATCAGGGTCAGGATCAGGAGCAGGGTCAGCAAAATCAGGGTTAGGGGGCATGGGTAAACTTAGTAAGGATGGAAGGAAGGGAGCAGGAGGACAGACCAGAGGGGGACTGACGGGGTCCAAAAGAGGAGGAGACAACTGAGAGGGGCAGTTAAGGACAGCTGGAGGAGGGGGGGGGGCAGAAATCAGGGAGTGCACCTCAGCAAGGGCAGCAACCGAGAGGGAATCGGGGGTGAAAGAAACCTCCATATGTGGGACAGGGGGCCCGACCACTGAAATAGGAGGGGCAGTAGTGATAGAGTCAGAGGGAGGGCGGCAAGGAAGAAAGCGATACCTTCTTACCTGCTGGGGAGGAAGGAGAAGAGCCAGGCTTATGTTTCTGACTCGAAGAGATAGGCGTTCCAATAACAACGTACCGGGCGATAGACTCAATGGTCTCAGCAGAAGAGGAACGGGAGCGAACAACACAATGATTGCTGGGAGGATGATGGACATCAGCCTGGACAGACAGGCGGTGTGGAGGGTCAAGAGACTGGGGGGAGATGGGAAAGAAGACATAGGAGACATGGTGGACTGGGCAGGAAAGGGGAAAACTCCAGGTGGAGAACTTTCAGGACAGGACGCAAAGGAATAGGGGAGGAGATAGAGGGCGTGTTTGGGTTTAAGGCCTGGAAACGGTTGTGAGACTGAGGAAGGTGGAAAGGACGAGGAGAGGTAGAACGCAACACGCGAGCGTAGGATACACCGGCGAAAGGGGTGAGACGACGATGTCTCACATTGTGCTGACTTGGTGTCTCGCTTCAGGAAAAGTCAGACGATCACGGTGTTTCAAGTTGAGGACGGCTTCCTCGAGTTTGTAGTGTATACACAAGTGTGAGAAGGTAGGGTGGGCCTCACCACAATTGAGGCAGCAAGCCTGGGGAGAAGTGCACTCGGACTTAGAATGATCATCGTCCCCACACAAGGGCATAGACACACAGTGGACACTTGAGGACACCGTGTCCAAACTTCCAACACTTATTGCAAAGTCTAGGAGAGGGAATGTACTCCTGAACGGAGCATCTGGCACCGGCAAGAATAAGAGGGCGAAATCACTATCAAAGGTGATTTTTACAACTCAAAGGGGCTGACGGCGACGACCACGAGGGGGTAGAGTAAACGTGTCCACCTGGAGGACAGAATGGCCTAAGGCTTAGAGGATATGTTTAATATCATCATGGGAGTCTTTGAGGTCTCTAACACCAGTTGCAACATGGTGCGGGAGGAGAACAGTACCAACACCGGCATTTAATCGAGCGTTTTTCTAGACCCAAACAGGGGTCTCCCGAATGCAGGACAAAGCGGCTGAGCGAGTAGCTGCATCCTGAGAAGGAGCAGCAACGATACGCATACGGTAATAGGTGGGGTTAAAAGTAACAGAGGCATCTACTGAATCAACAAGGTGTTTATAGAGGGAAAAATCGTCAGGAGGAGTAGAATCCATATGGTGGAGATCAAAGTATTTAGCCCATGTAGCGGGACCAAACAAGGCATTGTAAGTATTATTATGGGAAGGGATCGTGCGAGTGCGGCCGTGGCGGGGACGACGTTGAGAACCCCCAGAGTGAGAAGGGGTAAAAGGCGCACTAGTCACAATGAGAGACGGAGCCGTGCCAGGGGACGAGGTGGTCACCACTTGGGTCTGGGAACTCGACCCTACCAGAGAGGAGGGAGGGGAGCTGAGGGGAGTAGTCAGGAGGAGTAAGGTCGGGGTCCAATGCTGCGTGGGCTACAGGGCCTTGTCTTCCAACACAGTCCGACTCAGGGCTTGATCGCCCACCCCACGAGCCTGGGAAGGTACAAGGGAAATATTATCTGCCATAAAAACGAGGAAAGACTTTCATTCACGAATGTGCCCCCATACGCACCATGGAGCCACATTAGAGGTGGGACACCCAACAAGAAGCTATCGCCGATCATGCTGGGGGCCCCCCCAGGGGTGCGTCGTGAGTATACACCCCACAAACGCCACCTTAAGAACCGTCAATCCATCGAGATCAGATTCAGTGATGAAAGGAGGATTGACAATAAAAGGGTCCCCTCGTTTGAGACGTTGGGTACTACAGTTCTACGGGTGCAAGAGTATGCCTCCCCAAACACCCAGACGTCAAAATAAAGGAAGGCCGAAAGAAGAATCAAAACAGGCAAAAGGTCGGTGGGGAATGACAATGAGAAAGGAGAAGAGGGAGGAGAAAAACGAAACAGAAGGAAAATGCATCCAGCAAAATTTGTGAGGACAACAGCAGGAGCAAAACGCTACAAAAGGACAGGGGACCGTCCCAAGGAGCATCACTCTCCAGCAGCCACCCACCAAGCCCCCTCATGGCAGCAACGAGCTGGACAGGGAAGGGTTGAGCTTAGATAAGATTAAGGTCGGTACTTTTGTTAAACTCACCCAAAGGCAGTCCGTCCTAATGAACATTGGTCAAATGTCTGTATACAGCCGCCAAATCACATCTTTATGCATAACAAACATTTTGCACAGGACTCACAAATCTACGTTTTCCTCAGCTAGGCTCGTCCAAGCGGCGGCTCACTCTAAACACACATTCACCCATTATATAATACTGAGTTCTTAAATTAGGTATTTGAACAAATCTAAATATTTTTTATGATACATTAGAATTTTGTGTATAGTTAGGCCTAGATAAAGTTCATGTTTTAGATGCTTAGATTCAATTGGCATATATTTATACTTCATGTACTTGGGTGATGCATTTTAACCTGCTCCCAGGCTAGGCTTATTCAAGAGGCCGCCGACCCCAGAAACGCAGCGATCAAATTTAACGTTCTCAATATTTAAACAGGTATTTTCTCACATGTACACCAAAATATGCTAACGCCAAAATTTGGTTTCGTTATGTGATTAGGTGTGCTGATAATTATTTGGATTTGTGGGACGTAGATGAAGCATCTACAGAGGTTTTGAGCACACAGTTTGTTAAGGATGGGTCGATAAATGTTGGAACCACGTATTTCACATCCAAGTAATTCCCAGCATAACTCCCATACATAATCAAAGTTACAGTGACGGAAATGGGTTTTGGGAGCCAGATTTATCCAGAATATGGGTATGTCCAGCACATATGCACAGAACTAAGAGTATGTCCAAGACATACACTCAATGATTATTGTAGTCCTTGACATACTCCCAGTGATCATTGTTGCACTAAACATACACCCCAGTGATCATTGAGGTCCCTGACATACACCCAGTGAT